CCTGCTTATTCAAAACAGTGTATTTGCAAAATAGCAAAGCTCCCAACACAGGGCTGGAAGGCATTTGAAAGTGGTCCATCTCAGGAGGTGCATGATCTCCCAGTCCCCTTACTGGAAGATAAGTTCAAGACTCCCAGCAAGGTTGCAGCCTGTGGAGCAAACAATCCCTGGGCATGGAAACTAGTCTTCAGAAAGGGACTTCTTTGCCTCTGCCACCACCCTGAGCTACCTCTTCCTGGGCAAGATGGAGGTAGCAGTACAGTGGGAGCTCTTGACAAGTAAGAGTGTTTGTGCTTGCTGAAGAAGAGGCACAACCTCATAGTGGATAGTGCAAACTACTAGAGTTGTAGGGGGTCCCTGTGTTGATTTATTGTGTACCTTAATAAACTTTGCCTGAAGATCAAAGGACAGAACAAGCCACTAGATTAAACATAGAGGCCAGGCAGTAGTGGTACACACCTTTAATCCTAGCACTTGGGAGGCAGAGATCCATCTGGATTTCTGTGAGTTCAAAGCCACCCTGGACTACATGAGATTGACTCAGTCTAGGAGAGAGACAGAGCCAGGCAGTGGTGGCACACACCTTTAATACCAGTACTTGGGAGTTACGAGCTACACGCCTTTACTGGCTGGGAGGAGAAAGGTATATAAGGTCTGAGGAGACAAGAACTAAAGGCTTTTTCAGGCTGAGGAGTCCTAGAGGTTAGACAGTGGCTTATTCCTTTGTCTCTCTGGTCTTTCAGCATTCACCCCCAATATCTGGGTCCAGGGTTTTTTATATTATTATTAAAAGATCATTTAGAAGCTGGGCGGTGGTGGCACACGCCTTTAATCCCAGCACTCAGGAGGCAGAGGCAGGTGGATCTCTGTGAGTTCGAGGCCAACCTGGGCTACAGAGTGAGTTCCAGGAAACGTGCAAAGCTACACAGAGAAACCCTGTCTCGAAGAAAAAAAAAAAAAAAGATCATTTAGAAATTCAAGTTACAGGTCCCTGAAGGCAATATTTTGTAGGTAAGGAACTCACGCCAAATTCTAAGAGTTTGGGCTACCTCCTAGCAGCTGAACTGATTACAAACACAGAGGCCTAGTATCACAAGCTCAGGGCTCTATGAGGTCTCTTCCTGGGTGTAGCTCTGCCTAGCTTGGGGACCCCTAGCCCCAGGGGACCCACCCTGCTGAGAGTCAGCAGAGTCACCCAGCAAGTATAAACTGGTTGAAGAGCTTAGCAGGATGAGGCAGCAGGGCGGGACCTGGGAAGGAGGGAGGGGAAGAGGGGATTAGGGTACAAGCAGGAATGTGGCACTCCCTATACACAAACTCGAGCACCCCAGCTTCTACCAGTTGAACACATAGTCCATCCAGAGCCTCTGGAGCTCAACTCTGCACCAGACTGGCTGTGTGAGCTTAAGGTCCCTTTCCCTGCTTCCATTTCTCCATGTGTACAGCTGCAGGGTTCAGGCCATTTGTCTCCAATGTACTCTGGTATAGGGATCCTGCCTGGGACACCTCTGGGTCCTGATAGCTTTCAGGATACCACCTGTTTTTCCCTTCAAAGCCTGGGAAAGCTTCAGTTAAATAGGCCTGCCTGGGTTCTGCTTCCAACCTTGCAAATGAGGAGGGGGCAACTTGGGAGCTTAGTAATCCTGCTGGCCCATTCTCTCAGACAGCCACCTGTCCCCTGGCCCATCTGTTGACTTCAATCTGGCCTTCTGGAGAAGCTATTTTGGGTACCTGTAGCTAGAGTTTTCCTGCCTTGCCCACAGTCAGCACTTTTTGAAAAAAAAAAAAAGAAAAAGAAAAGGGGAAGTGCTGTGGGATGGTCTGTATGTCAAATTGCTCTGATTGGTCAATAAATAAAACACTGATTGGCCAGTGGCTAGACAGGAAGTATAGGCGGGACTAACAGAAATGAGAAAAGAAAGAACAGGAAGGTGGAAGGAGACACTGCCAGCCGGCGCCATGACAAGCAGCATGTGAAGACGCCAGTAAGCCACGAGCCATGTGGCAAGATATAGATTTATGGAAATGGATTGATTTAAGCTATAAGAACAGTTAGCAAGAAGCCTGCCACGGCCATACAGTTTGTAAGCAATATAAGTCTCTGTGTTTACTTGGCTGGGTCTGAGCGGCTGTGGGACTGGTGGGTGACAGAGCTTTGTCCTGACTGTGGGCCAGGCAGGAAAACTCTAGCTACAGGTACCTACTCCTGAGCTGTGACCCCCTCTGAACAGGGACACTACCTACCACCCCTTTCCTTTCCTGGTAGTCCAGCCTGCTCTTTGAGCCTTCTACACTTAAGAACCACCACCTGTGCTTTCAATGCCTTCTTTACAGCATTCCTGGGGGCTACTGCCCAGTCCCCTTGGGCACTGCTACACAAGCTCGAGGAATACCAGAGCTAGAAAGAAAAGATGGAGGGGGAAATTGCAACTCTGAAAGGGGGAGATTTTTTGGCTAATCTTGGAGCTGAGCTAGGGGCTAAGGCATAGTCGTGGAAAGGAGGGCCACAAAAACCTTGGGCTAGAACTTGAGGAGAGTCTAAGGAAAGGTTCATGAAGACAACAACTTGACAGCTGAGAATGGGTAAAAGAGTACCTGATGTCCCCAGAGAAGAAATGTCATCCCTAATAGAGGGGCTTGGTCATATGACAGTACTTGGTTTATCTGAGTGCATGTTACTTATACATATCTGTATCCTAACACTTGGGAGGCGGAGTCCAAGATTGCTGTGAGTCTGAGGCCAGCATGGGCTACATAGCATCCCTCCTCCCCAAATGGTGCCTGGCTGAGGTGACTGGAGGTAGCCCTGGAAGAGGGTGGGAGTGGAAAGCATCATTGGAAGATTCTGTTGGGGCAGTGAACAGGTGGGCAGGGCAGGGCACCTACCATTCAAGTCAAACTCGTTTGCAGGCAAGAACCGCTGCAGGGCCTGGCAGCCTGGCTGGGAGGGAGGTGTCAAAGGCTGGTCTCTTTGGTTAGAGCTGTCATGAGGGATCTATCCTGGGCAGGGGCTGAGTCGCTTTGGGCAGGAAAAGAGCTTGAGGTCTGGTGCAACCCTCAGTGGCCAGCTATGCTATTGGACACCACTCTTGCTCATGTTCTTCAGGTGCTCCATCCTGATTCAAGGTTCTGGGGCAGAGCTTTCTGTTTTCTGGAGGGCCTTGGGAGACAAGTGCTACCACGTTACTCATCCCTAGCCATGGTGTATCACTTTGTTTTACATTCTGCCTCCTTTTAGGCTAGGTTCAAAAAAGGTGTGTCATCTATGCTAGGTCATATAGTTAGTATGTTTGGGAGCTAGGATGCCAAGCCAAATACAAGACCATAAGTAGCCTCTGTGGGAGAAGGGTAAGAAGCATTAGATGCTGGTCACTGGCCTGGGGCCAACTAAATTGAAAGGAGAAAAACATCTGTTGGCAGGAGACAAAGATTAACCACTCCCCCAGAACACACAGAGCACTTCCTTTCTGTCTGATAAACCCCACAAAAAGAAGAACCCTTCTTTTAGAATTGCAATCTCCCATCTCTTCCTTCTACAAATGTCCCAGATCCCCTGGGCTGGTCTCTGTGACCCAGAGATAATCAGACAGGGTGCCAACCTCACCATCGAGAATAAAGGGAAGTGATTACACAGAAGGAAGTGGTCAATTTGACTAGGTGGCAGGCCAGAAAGAATTTAGGAATGGTTGGATGAAGTCTGAGGAATGACTGAGTTCACTAGCAGAGGGATATAGGAAGGGCATTTCAAGAGTGTGAGTACAGGAACAAATGTCTGAGGTGTGAGGACACATGATGTACTCAGAAGACATGGGGAAGTCAGGGTGAGTAAAAGTGGCTGGTCTTGCAGAGAGAGGTTGACCACAGTGAACCATTAGGCCTTCTAAAGACATCTGCTTTGATTTGAAGAGCAACAGGAAACTATAGGAAAGAGCTCTAAGCAGGTAGCATCTGGTCATTTTCACCCAATGAAGCTGCTTAACCAGACTTCTGTGTGATAGCTGGGTAGGAAGGAAGTATAAGTTGCAGGCGGGGACACCAGTGGGCAGATTTGAAGGCCACTGCAATGGCTATAAAATTGGCAAGACTTGAGAAGTAGGACCTATTGGCCTTTTTTCTTTTTCTTGTTTTCTTTTTTGAGCCTGTCAACCTGATAGGCTGTTGCTTGAGCTGGCTTTAACTATATCCTCTGTTGGAAGTCCTTCCCTGACCTCACAGATAGGGTTAGGAGCCTTTGTCGGATGTTCTCTTAAGTTTGACACCCCCTACATCATCCCATCCGGTCAGTGCCTTGCACACATTAAGTATCCAACAAGTGTGAATGAATGTCACTTATCAAACTGAATGTGTGTCTTCTGGCCTGGCCTGAGAGGTGGCCCTGATTTCTGTGTCTCGCCAGCTCCATCCAAGAATGGCCTTCCAGGGTGCAAGTTTTGCCAGGCACCAGACAGAAGTTTCTTGCTCGCTTTTTTTCTCCTCTGCCTAACTTCCTGCATGATCTCAGCTACCAGTCGCCACCCCCCTTCCCCCAAACTCCGGTCCTTTCCCCGCCCCTGTCTGGGATCTCCATCTGTAAAATGGATCTAGGCACAGTAGTTCTCTACAGAACTGATCCACCTGCATCTGTGGAAGTCGTTGGCCCAGAGCCTGGACCAGATCTCGCCAGGCGCAGGCAGGGATGCCACTAGGCAGTGAGGTGGTGGGGGTGGGGGTGGGGGGGGCCTTCACGTGGTGGAGGCCTCCCGGCCCCGGGGCGGGTGCCTAGAGGAATTAGCGTGGAAGTTTCCCATGGCGGCAAAACTTTCTGGAGCTTGCTCCAAACCGGGCCAGTGGAGACACAGCCTTGATTTCTCCAGCAGCTCCACAGGGCGGAGCAAGGAAGGGGTGGGAGGACCGAGGACACTGGCGGGAGAATGTGAGGAATGTGCCAGGCGCATCTACCTACCCCAGGAGAGGGCAGAGGAAGGAGGCCGGCCGAGGGGAGGGGCAAGGGGCGAGGCTCCCTGCAGCCGGAGAAAACCTGTTTGTTCTTGGGCGGGCGGAGCCCACTCTGTGCCACCTCGTTTCCAGGCGCGCTCTTCGCTGCGCCCCTCGCCCGCCGACACAGCTCGGTAGGGTCCAGCACTGCCCACCCGAGGGAGCCCGCGCACCACGCCTGCCCGACTCGCTGCCCGTCCCACAAGCCAGGCACCTGTACCAGGTAGGGTTGTTGAGTTGCCGTCCTAAGGACGCGGCCGACAGGAAGGCAACAAAGGGTACCCTGTTTGTGTCCTCCTGGGCACAAGCAGAGTCTCGGTTTCTCTTCCCATAATTCATACTCGCTCCAAGGGATTCTGGGGTTCCAGTCAGGGAGACAGTACTCTCGGTTTTCTGCTTTTCACTGTGGGTGAAGAAACTGAGAAGCAGGGTACATTAGTGTGACCAACCAAGGCAAGTGGCCCTCTGGCTGGCCTTGTCCCTCTGTCCTGACCATTTGAGGATGAGACCTCTTGTTAGTAAACTGCTGACTGAAGGAGGAGGGGACAGGGTGAGCCTAGAGTTGGCGTTTTGCAAAAATCACGAAATACCACATTCTCAGTAAAATGTGCCCATTTTGTAGATAAAGAAACTGAGATGCAGAGGCAAGCTTACTCTAAGAATCCCCTCTCACTGGCCTGGAGCCTAGGACAAAGGGACTTGATGGTGGTTTGTGATAGACATGTACTGGGCATTGGGCGATCTCAGAAGGGAGCTGCTTATACTCAGACAGAAGGCGCCGAATCAAATGTCACTGTGGTGTTATCAGCGGGATCTGCTGTGCACAGGCTCTGTGACTGGATTGTTTGTGCGGGGGCAGGGGGAGCCAAGAGCCTCGTCCTCTTTGGAACTGCATAATGATACTTGGCCTCTGAGAAAGGCTGAAAACTCAGGCCCTCCTGTCTGCTCTGCCACTTCCTTTCAAGCTGTGGCACCTGGCAGCTCCACTGGTCAAAGAGAGAAGCCTACCAGGCCCACCTTCCCCTCCAGGGCTGTGGAATCTCTGAAGTTTGTTGGGAGTTGTGTTCTCCACAAGCCATATGTACTGAGTCTTGATATTAAAGCAGGTGGTGACACCTGCTCTTGGTCTTGTCTTGGTCTCATGGCTCTTTGAATTTCTTGTCATAGTGCCTGGTCTGGGTGAGGAAGGAGGTTTCCACAAACTGATAAGCCTAAATAGTGATGAGGGACTCTGAATCACAGAGCTGCAGTGGGAGGCTTGGAAGGTTATCTTCCCACAGCCTCAACTGGCTCATCTGAGCAAACAGTGCCAGCTTGGGTGCCAACAAGTCTCCAGGGCACAGATGCACTCACCAGGTACAACTTGCTGGAGGGTTTTGGTGTATGTACTGTTCACCTCACCACCCTCAGCCCACTCACTACAGGTCTGGAAGGAACAGCGCCATCTCACCTGTCCTGCTCCCATCAATTCTCAGCTCTGGCTGGGGCTCTGATCTCAGTGGGGTGGAACTGATGAAAGGTACCTAGGTCAAGGCCAGGTACACAGCAGGTGCTCAAAATATGTTCATTTCCATCCTCTGGACACTCATGAGTCAATGACAAAGGTGGCTACAGAGGGTGCTGTAGCTTTGAGGGTCATTAAAGCTCTGGTGGCTCCCTAAACATGGATCAGAGATGCCACCCTAGCTGGAAAGAGTAGGTAGATTTTGAATGAGAGTCCAGCAGCCTCCAGGTCAAGATAAGTAGGAGAGAAATCAGCCCAACATTTAACAAAAAGAAATCTTTAAAGGGACAGACCACTCCAGAAGGAGCTGCCATCTGAATCATAACAGGAGTGATTGTGTGTCCTCAAGTTGGGAAGGTAGTGAGTGGTCCCAGGAGCATCTAGAACCTAGCATAACCCTTCCTCAAACTGCTTTGGGCTCCCAGAGGCCTTTAAAGGCTTCTAAGACCTGCTAGGTCAGGGATTCTGGTTTCCCAGCACTCAGCACCTGGCTAAGGTAGGCATTGGCACCTGTTCCAGAACTCTCTTCAGTTGTATGCCAAGAAAACACTCCCAATTCTGGCTTGATGCATTCTGAAAGCCAGAAGGCTGCCCTTCTCCTTTCTCACTGAAGCCTCCATATATGACTTCTGCCTTTAGCTGGGATGTTGCTTTAAGCTATAGCCTATATTGTGCCAGGTCATACATAACACACATTTGCCTTTTGCTTGCTGAGCCCTGAGGCCACTTTCATTGCCAGCCCTGTGGTGACATAGGACAGGATCACTGCCAGGAAAGAAAAAGCTACTTTCTAGGTCTCTGGTGCTTGGAGAAACTTCTCATGTTGCATTCCAGACTTTGGGTACCCATGGTTGGGAATAGACCTGGGTGCCCACAACTTATCCAGCTTTTTCATCCCAAACGAGGCCCGACCTCACCTCTTGCTCCCATGACCAGAGGAGGAAACCATCATCCCTGGTTAAACCCTCTCCTTATACCAAGCTGCTTGAATACGAGGGGGGAAATCAAGGCCGTAAGAGGTTGGGTGGCATGCCCAGGTTTGTACAAGTGGATGGTTGCTGAGCTGGATTCTGAACTCAATGTGGCCTCTGGGCCTTTCTCTTACCCATAAGGCTGTAAAAACACTATCCTCAATGATAGCAGACCCTGCTAGGGGCAATATGTTGGATAGTTCATCCCCCTCATCTGCTGTCAGTCCCTTTAGCACACTGCCCTGGTCTTGGTATGAGCTGACTCTCCATTGACATAACTAGAGTCAGTTCATTTTTCCCAAAGGGAAACTGAGACACAGAATGGAGCTCTTTTACCTTCTGTGGATCCATGTGAAAGCATTTGGCAGGTCTTTTCAGTTCACTTTCCCTGCTAGAATGACCAAAGTTAGAGGGTATGGACAGGGAAGAGGGAGTGGGGTCTGGGTAGGAAAGAGGCTGGAAAACTCAAGGCCAGGAGGCCCTGTGCATGTCGTTCTCCAGGGCTGATATGCAGACTCAGACTCAGAGGTGAGGAGGCTGGAAGGAATCTGCAGCTCAAGCAGATGTCCCTGGGAAATCTGCTGGAGAAACCTAGAGGCTGCTCTCAGAAACACAGTCTGGGCTTTTCCTGTGGGCAGTGCTTACTTCTTATTCTGAGGGAGAGCTAGGAACTTTGGGAATAGGTAAAGCAGAAGATGGGCAGTTCCTTTTTTTTTTTTTTTTTTATAACAGGATCCAAGGTTAGTTTTTGTAGCCACTGCTAGCCCTTCTGCCTCTAGCACATTCCCTTGGAGCAGACATGGGGTTTGGTATAGCTGTGGCCTTGACAAAACGACAGTATACCTCTTGGCCTTTCTGAGGACCAGACAGGAGCACAGTGCCATGGCCCTTGGGAGACTCCAGGGCCAGCTGGTCAAAGGTGAGGATCTTACCCCCAGCCTTGAGGATGTGACTTCGGGCCTGGCTGCTCACCTGCAGTGCACACACCTTCAGTTTAGGTACTTCGAGAATCTGCACGTCATCTGTGACTGTCCCCACAACCACAGCTGTCTTGTTCTCTCGGCCAGGAAGCTTCATTTTTCGGATCATCCGAGACAGGGACAGAGGTGGCCAGTTAGTGCGACTCATAAACAACCTTTTCAGCACAACCTGATTGAAGGTCGAGTTGGTTCGTCTGGTCAGAAACCTGTACAGCTTGACCAGCAGCCGCAGGTAGATGTCCTGGCTCTTGGGCTCCTTGCGCCGAACCTTTCGGTCCTTGTTGTGGCGAATGTCAACACCCATGATGGCGCCTCCTGCTCGGCCAGGTCCAGAAAGCAGGCAGTTCTTTACTTACTTGTTAATGCCTGTTTTGTAGCCCCTCTTCTTGTACAGTTAGTTGCCCTTGAGGTTACCGCTGGTGGCCTGGAGAGGCTGTGGAGCTCTGGAGACACACCCTGGATTCAGAGAAGACTTGGTCTCTGGGGCCAGTGGTGGGCAAGCCCAAGCTACTGGTGATGCCTGTTGGTGTTCCCTGTCTTTGGATCTTTCTGTAGGCATATCTCGGGCATAAGGCTCAACCCCCTAGGGTAATCCTGTGATGGTTGGCTCAGAACAACACTTTCTGATGACTAAGTCACTTTCCCAGAGAGCTTGATGTGGCAGAGGGTTGCTATGGAGAGAAGAGGCACCAGGATTCCAGTCACAGGAATGGGGATCTCTGTTGAAAATGCTGACATTAGGCACTGCCTGGTTTAGCCTAGAAAGAAAAAAAAACCACAAAACCCAAAAAGCAGCCCTTGCTTCACCATTTCTGCCCATGTGTGCACTCATCTCCTACTCATTCTTTTATAGTTTAGGACCTGATCCAAGGGCGCCTCCTTGGAAAATGCAACACTCTGTCAGGGCCCATAGGACCTATCTCTCTTCCTCTGACTCCTGTCTATCTCCCTAGCACCCAGTCTGACCAGTAACTTTCCATAGGTGCTTGTTGCAGAAAAGAAAATGTGACTTTGGGCAAATGCATTCTCATCTCTTGGCTTCCATACTGTTATCCCAAAATGGGGGTTGTTGTAGAGGCAAGGATGGAGTGAAAGGGACTTTGGGTTTAAGCTGGGCAGGAAAGTGTGAGGGAGGGTATAGAGGGCCTGGAGTGGGGAAAGTTATGGAGAGAAACATTTTTGGGTGCTGGAGGAACTGCTGGGTATCTCCTTTCATCCTCACTAGAGGATCCCTTGCAAGAAGGACAGGAGCAGTTTGGGCCAAAGTTAGGAGCAAGTGGGGCTGAGTTCTTGTTACTTTGTGCTCTGACAAAAGTTGAACAGGTCGCAGCTGTAAGGACTTGGGATACTCATGAAGGACCAAGGGAGAAAACGTTGAGGGGGTGGTGGGTTCGAGAGTCCCCAGCCCTTTTTGACCCATGACGTGCCCATCTGCAGATGAAGATAGCATCTCTGAGTGACTAGGGCTGACCTGAGACCTTAGATCTCAAGTTGCAGAAATAACTATTGGGATGTGAAGATGTGAAAGTGCACAGGTAGCTAGGACTGTGAAGGAAGGCCTATGAACTTCTCGGTCCCTTTCTTGTGGTATATCTGCAGAGGTAACAATGGCAGCAATGTAAATTGCTCATATGAGGAATTAGAGCAGGGGGTCTTGTTGAGAGCAGGAGGTCCCATGGTCCTGCTATCCTCAGCAGGCTGACCTCACCCAGATATCTCAGAGGCATCTCTGAGAGCTCTTCCCAGCATCCCTCAGTAGTCCTGTAGGCCAAGGCACCCCTGAAGTGGCCCAGTTTCTCCAAGCAGGTGTTTAATTCCATCCCTAGGGGAGCCAGAAATATTCTAGGGTCTTGGGAATGGCAGATAGCTAACAGTACCCCTTCCCCTTTGGGGTTTTAGCTCCCTACTCAGTTGGGAAGAACTTGGCCTGCCTCAGACATCTTCCTCCCAGAATTCCTCTAGCACAGACGCTAAGAAGTCTAGAATCTGAGGTTTGGGGTTGGGATGGCAGGAGGTGAAATTCCAGACTTTCATGTAGAAGTCATTTACCTGTAAAGCACATTTAAAAATACACCCCCCTGCCATGCTTGCTTTTTCCATATTATATTTTCCCCTCTGCAACCCAAGTTTCTTCCAACTTTTTTTTTCCACATAGTATTCCTCCTTCCTTCTACCTTGTTGGCTTGCAGGCAGAAGCCTCAGTGACTACAGCATTTCAGACAGGTCACAAGCTCCTGCCAGAGGGGCCCAGCCTTCAGTTCCTGGGACCTGTACACTGAGCAACAGACTCAGGAGCTCAGATGGGAGCCAGCTGCTGCTCAGCCTTTGCTCTTGCAGAGCCAGCTCTGTCTAAGGTCTCTAAATCACTTGCAACTCCCTTCCTAATCCCAGCTCTTGATCTCAGCACCTCCTGGACCAGCAACAGTAGTATCTCTTCTAGGTCCTTATGGGTGAAAAGCAACCTGTCTGCTGACTGCTGCTGGGGCTCCAGTGGAAGACAGTGGGAATCAGAATGCCCAGGGTTACAAAACCTGGCCACAGAAGGCTGCCTCACAAGTGGATCATTTCACCATTCCAGTCCTTTTGGCCTAGAGAATTGAGTTGGCAGCTTGAGTGCTAGCTTAGATCAGCCTGGGTCCAAACTTCCATGGGCCAAGTGCATTCCTTGAGAAAGGATTGAACTAGCACAGCTAAGTATGCTGAGTGTGAATTGGGGGTAGAGGTCATGTTTCCTGAATTCTAGCATTTCTCAGCCCCTCTTACTCCTGGCAATGACCTGAACTGAGAACCCGGTGCTTTTTCCAACCTGGCAAACCAGATGTACCTGCTCATCCTTGCACTTCCTTCTGCAGCCCCTAGAGGGAGACAGCCACAGCCAAGACTTTCCCTACTATGCTGACCTTTCCACCCCACCCATACAAAGCAGAAAACACTCTTTGGGTTCTGGTGGACAGGGTGATGAGCAGAGAAGCTGCTTTGAAGCCCCTGCCTTCCCCACAGGAAAAACCAGATACAGGCTCGTGTGCCTTTTGAGAACAGGGCTTCCCTAAGGCCATCTTTGTGTCTGCTGGCACAGGTTGGGTTGGACAATAAGGGAGGGTTGGAAGGACTCTGGCCAAGGAGCTACCTAGGCTGGCTGGGTTCTGGGGCTCAGGAAGCTTGGATTCTCAGAATTGAAGAGCCCAAATCAGGCTCTTGCAGGACAGCCATAGAGGACAGCTGTAACATCAGGGGTCTGTCTCCCTTGCAGATTTTGATTTTCGAAGTTTGGTCCTGTACCCATACACAGTAGTGAGGGACCAAGGTCCCATGTGGGTAGAAGGAGGGTTTTCCCAGAGTGACAGAGCTAGTATGAGAATGCATTCTCCTTCCCAAAGACCAACTGTCTTTGAGACTGTTTCTCACCCCCCCACCCACCCACCAAGCAGTGCTCATCCAAGAGATTAGTATTGACTGCATTCATCCATCTTGGATAGCAAATTCCTGGGAGACTAGAACTTAGTGTCACTGTTGCTATCCTCATGACCAGGTGTGAAGAAGAGCTCATTCCCAGCCACATTCTAAGCCTCTGGCTCTGTCACAGTAGGTGCAGCCTTTGCCCCCAAACAACAGAGAAATACTTGCAGGCAAACCTTTTCTACAGCATGGCCTGATGTCAGGCTGACATTGGGCACCTACACTGGGAATCTCCAGCCTTATTGGATTCATACAGATGTCACTTGATCCATCTGTATTTAGCCACTGGGTCACATGCTCTTGCTCTATCCTGCTTTTTTTTTTTTCCATGCCTAGGGAGTCCATCTAGGGCTGAGATGTGGATTCTGTACTAAAAAAAACAGAACTGTGGTATGATCTCTATAAACCTGGTTTGCATGCTTGGAGAAGTGGAGTTGGGCACAGTTTATCCCCGCCCCCCCCCCCCCCCCGCCACCTCTTTCTGCTCTTGCTTACATTCAGACCAGTGTCTAGCACACAAGCACTCAAACAAGCCCTGTCACCTATGCCCTCTGGCAGCATCTCCTTATCACCCTGCTAACAGTCATCCTTGGCTACATAGTGGCCTGGGATAAG